CGCTAGCCTCAGTGCATGTGGCCGGCACCGTAACCACTATGCTACGGGTGCCGAGCCTCTTATCCCTTTCTTTAATTTTTAAAAATTTTTTTGTTTGTTTTGTTTTTCATCCCAGCTTTCTTATCCCAGCTTCTCTGGGGTCAGCTTTAGATTTGCTCTGAGATTCCATCTTATAACATCCCTTATCTTATCCCAGCTTCTCTGGGGTCAGCTTTACATTTGCTCTGAGATCCTCCTAACCAGTCTTAACACAACTGTGGCCTTTGTTCTTTTATCAAGTGGCATACATATTTTGTGAAGAAGAGATGGACCTATCTCTGCTTGGCTGAGAGAAGGGTGTTATTTCTTTTTCTTTCTTTTTTTTTTTTTTTGAGACTCACTTGAGTCTCGTTATGTTGCCCTCAGTAGAGTGCTGTGGCATTACAGCTCAAAGGAACCTCAAACTCTTGGGCTTAAGCGATTCTCTTGCCTTAGCCTCCCAAGTAGCTGGGACTATAGGCGCAGGCCACAACACCTGGCTTTTTTTTGGTTGCAGTTGTCATTGTTTAGCAGGCCCGGCCCCGGCTCAAACCCACCAGCTTTCATGTATGTAGACGGTGCCTTACTCACTGAGCTACAGGCACCAAGCCAGGAGGGCGTTATTTCTTTACCATTAAAAAGTTATTAGCTTGGCTTGGCACCTGTGGCTCAAGCGGCTAAGGCGCCAGCCACATACACCTGAGCTGGCAGGTTTGAATCCAGCCCGGGCCCACCAAACAGTGATGGCTGCCTGCAACCAAAAAATAGCCGGGTGTTGTCGTGGGTGCCTGTGGTCTCAGCTACTTGGGAGGCTGAGGCAGGAGACTCACTTGAGCCCAGGAGCTGGAGGTTGCTGTGAGCTGTGATGTCATGGCACTCTACCCAGGGGAACAGCTTGAGGCTCTGTCTCAAAAAAAAAAAAGTTATCAGCTTTTTGGAAATCACTTAACCTGTATAGCTTTACCTGTAAGATTGGTATAATGTTATCTACCCCAAAGGGTTATTTGGAGGGATTAAGTAAAGCTAAGCACCAATAGAATGTCTATTAGTTTCTTTCAGTCCCTTTCCTCCTTTTCAGAAAGGCAAGATGAATTCATCTCTGTTGTTTCTCTCTGTCAGCCAAGCCCAACAACTCTGATGGAGCCCCCTTAAACTCTGTCCCTAAGAGAAGTCTGTCTTCAAGCAAATGTGACCCCAAGCACAAGGACTGTCTGCTTCGGGAGTTTCGGAAGTTGTGTGCCAAGGTGGCTGAAAATCCTAGTTACAACACAAAGACCCAGATCATCCAGGACTTCCTCCGGAAAGGCTCAGCAGGAGGTATGGCCATGAGCTTCCTGAATGAGCTTTTCTTCTAAGGAGCTCAGGGCCTTGGCTGGCTTCATGAGGATGTAAACTGCACAGTTGCAGAAGGTCCCACGCTTGGTTTAATACATTGCTATTGATGTCTAGAAATTCTTAATAATTTTAAATAAGGGGCCCTGAATTTGCATTTTGTACTGAACCTCCCTAATTATGCAGCCTTTTTTTTTTTTTTAAAGACAAAGTCTTATTTTGTCTCCCTTGGGGGTAGAATGCCTTATCATGATCATAGCTCATAGCAATCTCAAACTCTTGGGCTCCAATGGTTCTTTTGCCTCAGCCTCCCAAGTAAGTGGGACAGAGTGGCCTGTCACAATGCCCAGCTATTTTTAGAGACAGGGTCTCACTCTTGCTCAGGCTGGTCTTGAACTCGTGAGCTCAGGCAGTCCACCTGCCTTGGCCTCCCAGAGTGCTAGGATTACAGAGCCACAGCACCTGGCCCTTATGTAGCCAATTCTGCTTAGAGCACTTTGGCATCTCTCTTATGCCCTTATTTTGTCCCTGAGAGGCCAGATAAATGCATCCTATTTGACTAGTAAAAAACTTCACTATCCGTAGTTTTTTGTGAACCATATACACAGCTGGGAATAGTCTTCCAACTCTGTTTCTTTCATTTATCTAACAAATTGTCACTGAGAATCTGTAATGTGCTTGTTACGGAACATGTGAAGTAAAAGTTATAGCTCTGCCCAGCAGGAGTTCTTGCATGGGCTAAAGGTGAAGCAGACACATAAACCACTAGCCATCTGTCTCTGTTGGAGTCATGTCCTACCAGAGTGACATGCACAGGGTACTGTGGGGGGTATAGGCAACTGTACATAGATCTCTTTGGTTTCTGCTTTGAGTTTATGTATTTGTTTAAGCTTCATTTCTCAAGAAGGTTCCTTTCTTCTGTCTCCAGATGGTTTCCACGGTGATGTGTACCTTACAGTGAAGCTTCTGCTGCCAGGTGTCATTAAGAGTGTTTACAACTTGAATGATAAGCAGATTGTGAAGCTTTTCAGTCGCATTTTTAACTGCAACCCAGATGATATGGCACGGGACCTAGAGCAGGTCAGAGGAAAGGGAGGGTAGGCCACATTCCAGGTAGGGTTCTGCCAAGCCAAGCACCTGCAGCCTCTTTTTTTTCTGGTTGGGGCACATCCTATTTTAGGCAAGTGAAATCCATTGGAACAAGCTTTCATGGGGGGTTGCTAAATGTGAAGCTATAACTGTTAATTTCATGTTTCTGAGGACTGAAACTATACCATTGCTAAACCACAAAAGGCATGGTTCTCAAAAGTCAGGATTTGAGACTTCTGTGTCTCCTGAGGCTCTTGCTCTGGACTCTTTTTTCTTTTTCTTTTTCTTTTTTTTTTTTGAGACACAGCTTTAAGCTGTTGCCCTGGGTGGAGTGCCATGGCGTCACAGCTCATAGCAACCTCCAACTCCTGGCCTCAAGCGAGTCTCCTGCCTCAGCCTCCCAGGTAGCTACAATTACAGGGACCCGCCACAACGCCTGGCTATTTTTTGGTTGCAGCTGTCATTGTTGTTTGGCGGGCCCAGGCTGGATTTGAACCCGCCAGCTCAGGTGTATGTGGCTGGCACCTTAGCCGTTTGAGCCACAGGCACCGAGCCGACTCTCTTTTTTCTTTTTTTACACTGTAACTTGGGCTTTACTATTCAGCTTTGATTTGTTCACGACTCTAGCCCTGGCACTGTGAAACGTTTCTGTTCACATACTCCCATTATCTGATGTTAACAGATTTGTCTATTTGTTCAAATTCTTAAGCAGAAATCAAATTGGCTAGTGTTGGATTAGTTCTTGTGTCTCAGCCAAGGCAGGTGGGCAGATCCTATGTTCTAGGATATGTGGATTGAATAGAGCCTCTAAGAAGTGAGGTACATAAGTTGAGTTGGGACAGGAGCTATGATTGAAATCTCTTGGTTCATCTTTAGTTCTGGGTCTTGGGGGGATATACTTGGCCAGCCTGAGGTTGCAATAGTGGCATTTGGTTTTTGGAGACAGGGTGACGTGTCAGAGACGATCAGAGTCTTCTTTGAGCAGAGCAAGTCTTTCCCCCCAGCTGCCAAGAGCCTCCTTACCATCCAGGAAGTGGATGAATTCCTCCTGAGGCTCTCCAGGCTCACCAAGGAGGATGAGCAGCAACAGGCCCTGCAGGACATCGCCTCCAGGTGGGAAAGGACAAACCTGCCCGATGGTGGGACCACACCTATGGTGCATTTTACAAGGGTACATGTTAAATCTACTAAGTGTCTACAAATGTCTTAATATCTAAAAAAATGCAGTGAAGGCTGTGTTAACCAGTTTGATGAAAGTATTTCAAATTGTATATAAAACCAGCACATTGTACCCCATAATTGCATTAATGTACACAGGTATGATTTAATAAAAAAAAAAAAAAGAAGAAAAAAACCTGCCCAATGGGGATGGCTGAGAGAGATGGAATCTCTTGGGAAGGTTTGGGAGTCCAGAGCTCTTCAGAGACCAAGTTGAATGTGCCTAATCCCTCTAGGTGTACAGCCAATGACCTTAAGTGCATCATCCGGTTGATCAAACATGATCTGAAGATGAACTCAGGTGCAAAACATGTGTAAGTACCAGCTCCTCTAATAGCCTGAGCTACTAGCTTCATTTTTCCCAGAGAGTGTCAGGATTTGGGATTCCCGGTCTGATCTGGATTTGAATCCTCCACCTTCTTACTTCCTAGGGAACCTTTCTCTGTCACTTGGCCTGTTTCCACTTCCATTTTTTCATATGTAAAATAGAGATAACTACCTTTCTTATAAGGTTGTTAGAATTGACAGTATGGAAATGTTCAGCAAGTAGAATATGAATCTCTTGCCCACTCTCGCCCCTTCTTCACTAAAGCAGCTACCAAGTAGGCAGTGTCTCAAATGAGCTGAATTTTCTAACAGTTTTTTCTCCTCTTGTGAAAGTCATTCTTGAATGGTAAGAGAACACAACCCCTTCCCTACAGAGTGTGATTTCTTCTGTGAGGACAGACCAATATCCAAAGCTGTAAGGGCAAAGGCAGTGATTTTGTTTTGCTTCTGTCCCTCTTGGCAGGTTAGATGCCCTCGACCCCAATGCCTACGAAGCCTTCAAAGCCTCACGCAACCTGCAGGACGTGGTGGAGCGCATCCTTCGCAATGAGCAGGAGGTGGAGAAAGAACCTGGCCAGAGACGGGCTCTGAGTGTCCAGGCCTCGCTGATGACACCTGTACAGCCCATGCTGGTGAGGAGTCCTGCTCTGCCCCTGCTCTCTATGCCTCTCCAAGTGTCACTTCCTTTGGAGTGAGATCTGATAGGGCATGAATATTGAGATGTCTTACAAGTTGACTGGAGGAATTTAGGGAAAGAAGAATAGAAGCACTAGAGGGCATTTCTCCATGGGGATAAAATGGGAAGACCTGAATTCTAGTTACAGCTATGCCACCCAAAAGCTGTAGAATCTTAAACACATTACTTAGCCTCTCTGGGACTTGAGTCTCCTTGTGTGAAAGATGTCTGAGACTCTTAGGCATCTGCCTAGAATGGCTTATCATTTTACCTGAAGACAGGTGAGATATATATATTAAGAAACTCC